TTTTTTTTCAGTAGAGACATAAGCCTATATCTGTTTGTGGCTGCTGTGTGTCATATGACAAGCATGAGAGCCCCCCCCTTATTCGTGCCACCTCAAAAATGATGCCTCTGACACTACAATGCAAAATTATTTGTCAAATAAATGAAAGTTTTAGTTTAAATTGTTATAGATTACATCTAGATTGCAGCGATACATGACATGGTGAAAAATGACTGAATGAATAATAGGCTACTTAAAGTAGTTTAAGATGAATTTTAAAATTGTGCCCCCTAAAAGCACAAGTGGCCCCTGTCTGGCCCCCCCAGTTACTGTGGTCTAGAACCGCCCCTGGACTCGAGTCCCAATAAAATTTTGAAAAAACAAAACAAACAAACATAGTATTTGAGACTTAAAACAACAAAAGTCTACTTCTTTTCTCAGTTTACATAAAAGTTTCTGTTTAAATAAAAGTGTCTTCTTCGATCTCTTTCCTGTCAGAATGTGTGGCCATTTGCCTGTTTAAGGTTTAAAGACACTAATAATCAGAAAAAGTCTGGCACTCGATACGCATACAGCCTCTATGCATTATGCAACTATCTGTGACAACTTCTCCATAGAAAGATTCTAGAAATGCACAATCATTTAATGATGTTAAACGCAAGTACAGAGGCATAAAAGGATATGGTTTAGAGGAAAATAAAAACCTGGTTACCATAGTTACCTACTCTTTTATGGTGGGTAAAAAACTGAAAAATGTACTAATGAGCAGTCATTTACAACTGAAAAAAGTTCTAAAAGTTCAGAAAAGTTAGGTGAACAATCCCACCCTTGCCAACTTATATAATACATAATGAAAATATACTCTAACTGTAAGTGCATAGTATGAAGGATCTTTTTTTTTCTTTTAGATAAGTTTGACTTAATGGACAAATTCTATAAAAAGACTCTTAGACATAGATCAATTTGTCTGATCACTATAGTTTACAAGCATTTTTTACTGTACACATCAGCAATACGTATGACACTTTTATGCACTTAGTAGATGCTTTTATCCAATGTAACTTACATTGAATTAATGCATTCAGTGTACTGTATACATTTTATCAATAAGAAATAAAGGCATGTGCAACTCAAATATAGCTCTGACTGTTGGAATAACACTGGCGTGAAAAGGCATGGTTTCCCACAGGACACATTTTTTTAATACAGAAAAAATGGTGTTGGTGGTGCTTTTAGAACAATATTCAGCATATTATTTTGCCATGTAATGAAAAGAACTGAAAGCTTTCACTCAGAAACTGACAGGTGCTAATTGCCTCAAGGATTAACATACATTTATGCAAATTTCTGTCCTCATATTATCCTCCTGCACTGCAAAACTACAGTTTTTCCCAAGCCATGTACACTCACTGGGAATCGCTCGAAGCATGACGGAAAGACAAACAACAGCTGGCATGTAAATATATCTTGTTAAATAGAACCGTATCTCTTTCTTTGCTAACATCGCGCCATCTGCAATCACTACTGAGGCAGAACACGAGGGATTTTGGGTTTCAGCTCACGTCCCGCAATATCATCTTCTCCCTTCATCTCTCGATTTGCGGCACAACCAGCGCCCCCAGCTGCCCTCTAATCCAGCTTTAGCCCTTCCGCTGATCAGGTGCGTCACTCTTAACAACTTCATCAGCGCCGGCGGGGCACAATTGGTTGGATAAATGATAAGATTTCCACTCGATTTCTGCTCTGTCATATTCCACCTCTGTACCTGTGCTCTGTATCTGTCATGTTGCTTTAAAACCAACGCTGTGATAGCACTCATGTCGCTCGCCGTGTTTTGTCGCCGTTCTGCTTCGGACCTGCTTGCTGGACGATCACCATGTTTGCATATTAGATTTAGAGACAATAATGACTTACTAAGAAAAAGCAAACAGAGCAAGATCAGATATAATCTTACTGAAGCACCACTCACCTCCTCACAGCAATCTGAAGTCCTTTAGGATGGCTCCTTGGGCAGAGGCTTTAAAAAAAAGAGAAAGGAAATAGTGGTCAGTTATTTCATTAGATCTGTGTTATTATATAATTAAATTCTACTTAATAACATGAAAAATATTTCCTCTGAATTTACAGTCGTGCAAAAGATTTCAAATGGCGGAGAAGCTCCATATAAAAAGCATCATTCTATAACATAACCGTTTATTAAATAATTTGAAATAGATTCAACCATAAACTATAATTACATTTTGCACTTTTTTTTTTTTAATTGCTTGAATTTGTCAATAACCTGAAACAGCTTGTCTCCTTCATCTAGTATACCACTTTTACTATTACAGTTTTTTTTTCTCAAAAATGTTGTTTCTTTGGTTAAGCAACAGTGCAGTCATCATTCATTTATGCAACAATCATTTATGGAAAACACTAAACTAAAACTAAGAGACTCTGGAAAAATATTCCCAAGGTCAAAATTCAGAGTAAAGAGACTGTTCAAATGTGACATTTGTGATTTTCTCACCATTTTGAAAAAGGTATATGGTTAATTTAAACACATAATTTGTTCATTTTTAATTATAATTTTTTAATTAATTTATTATGCTATTGTGAGTGATCAATAGTATGTGTTTTGAGATTATAGGAAAGGCAGGTTTATTTCTATAGCACATTTCATACAGTGGTAATTTGAAGTGCTTTGAAGAAAAATGATTAAAAAATAGATTATTAAAGAAATATAAATATAACAAAGTAAGTAGTAGAAATTGGAAAAAAGAGAACAAATTGGTTCAAATGAAATAAGATTATACATTAAAATGAATATGAGGAAAAACAAAGTACAAAATAAATAAAAAGACAATTTGATTAAAAACCTATCATAAAATACAATAAAAACTAAAAAACAAGTTGTCCTTTATGATTAGCAGCAATGTCTTCAATGTTAATAAATGAATCAACATAATTAATAAATTTAGCTTTCTGAAGTTTTGTAAGTCAATAATATCAACATTTGAGTATGACCCACAAAAGACCTGCACACAAATAAATACTAGTTCCTACTGAAAAATATGGTTAAGTTAGTAGTGTGTCTGTTTTAGTTAGTCACTGCCCAGCACTGCGTGATTGTCTGCAACACTATCAACTCTGCTAACGTTGCTAATTCAGGTCCTCTGCTGTCTGGTTTATACTCTCAAAGCGCCTCAAAATAGCCAGCCCTGTATTCTGCACTTCACAGGGCTTTTTTGAAGTCTTTTCTCTCAGATCAAGTTGAAGAAACTTCCAACTTTCCACTTGCTCGTTCAATGTTTATAAAAACCTCTTAACCCCTCAAGACTTCAAATCCTTCATTGGCAAGCTCGTGGTTCTTGGATCCGCTACACTCATTGGCATGCAGAAAGGCTCTCTAGGCCACTCGTTGGCACCCGTGCTGATTGGCTCGTCACCGCGTCATTCACAATGGTGGTGACAGTGCCCGGGATTCTATGGGTAGAGCCGCTTTTTCCAGTGCCCGCCTGCCCGTATGCCTCTCCGCCCTGGAAGTCTGGCGCTATCTGTGAAACCCTTCACGCAGTGCATCTGATCTGTTGCACCTCTCCACAAACATGTCATCTAAATGCTAAGCACTCATGCTGCATTGTTAAATGAAAACAACAAGAACAGCGAAAGCAAACAAGACGATCCTGCAACTAGCTGCAAGCTTTTTGATATCATTTTTTCCAATTTCTCTTCTTCAAGATCCTAGACAAGATCTTCTTTCTCCTGGAGATGTGAGGGGAATTCTGAGAGTGTTATCACGTAAGCTCAGTATGCACTACTGTACATGGTTTTTACCACATTTTTGCATTCAGAGACAAACGTTGGGAATTATCTTTGATTGCTTGGTGTGACATGATCGGCAGTGGGTTAATTGCCTTGGCGATGAATCTCAGCCTCAGTTTGAGCCACAGTCCTCCAGTGTCTAATGAAGAAACTGGAGATGTGAGGGGAATTCTGAGAGTGTTATCACGTAAGCTCAGTATGCACTACTGTACATGGTTTTTACCACATTTTTGCATTCAGAGACAAACGTTGGGAATTATCTTTGATTGCTTGGTGTGACATGATCGGCAGTGGGTTAATTGCCTTGGCGATGAATCTCAGCCTCAGTTTGAGCCACAGTCCTCCAGTGTGTCTAATGAAGAACTAAGAAGTGCAGTTGCTAGAGTTAGCAAGTCCACATGATATGCAAGATAAATACATTGTTCATTAGGTTCCCTACGGGGCATTACGATCATACTAAAAAGATATGGCCTTTTTTAAATGTATTATTTTTAATGTATTTGTTTATAAAATAATACTTCTATAATTTATTGTTTCTTTTATGTATTTGTCAGTTAATTTAGTTTATTGTTCTGCGTTGGTTGTTTTTCCTCTTTATAATATTGTTCTGAAGCTTAAATAAATGATAAAGAAAGAAATTACATTGGTTTGTCCACAAAATCCCTTTTTCGGCCAGCCACATTAGACTGCCAACAAATGCTAATTTGGCTCTATGGCTGATACAATAGAGTGCAACAGTGCCTGTCCACTTTTTCAGCAGCCTTGAGAGGAAGCTGGAAGAAAGTATTTTTCCCATTAATTTTTCCCATTGAGTCTTCTTTTGAGATTTATAAGCGATGAACCAAACCAACCAGCTATGAGGTGAAATCACAACATTACAAATTTTGATTTGAAACAAAAAAATATTTGTAAAGATTGAGAACTTAATGGTTTAATGAGGGAAAGAACTACAAACCCATGCAGCATTGTGAATGACAATCAGATGAAAAACAATGGATAAATACAAAACTATTGATTTAAAGATGATTATGTATACAGAACCAATATATGTCTATTGCAAAATATGCATACAAATATTAAAGTCATTCGAGAGTGTAAGGAAAGTGACTCTATTGCTGTGTTCAAAATCGAATATTTCCCTACAATATAGTATGCAATAAATAGTATGCTAAAAGAGTAGTATGCGGTTCTTTTGGCTCCACTTGTTGGTCCTGATTCTCTGATTGGTGGAGTTTCTTTGCAGAATCATGGGTAATGTAGTTTTTCACCTGGAATTCCACTGCTGAAAATGATTATTTAAAAAAAATTAAGTTTAAATGATGCAAGCTGACGCTTTTTACAAAAGCATATTCCATCTATTAACAACCTCGTAGTTCAAAGTAGGTCTGTCTTCAAAGGTTTATAAATGATCTTTCACAATCAATTCCACTATGGAGAAAATAAATGGAATTTTTACTTATGAAACAACTGTTGCACTCTCTTGATGATGTAAAATGCCTTGTCAGTGCTGTCAGTTGTGAACATAATCTGATCTCACTGGCGTCATATCGTACTATCTGACAATTAATGCGACAAACATCAAGTACAGAAAACAAAATCACACCGTGTTATGCATACTGGTGTAGGGATGGCTTGCTTCTAACTGAAAAATCACTAAGAGAAGCAACCATGACCGCACCGACCCGCTTCTCACGATTGAGTTTCTTTAGTGCTTTATGCCCGACTTGATATCGATTTGGTGACACCAACTCTGAGGCAAACCTGCTGAGGCAGTCATTGTAGGAGGCACTATTAACTGTTCATGCTAATTAATGGGCTAAAAAGGTGAAAGCGGTCTCCTGTGGTAAAGTAGGAAGGAGGCAGAACGAGAGTGAGTGAGAGAGCGAGGAAGAGGGACGTGGAATGAAGGAGCCATTTCTGTGTTTGTCTGCAAACAATCGGCTGAAACAGCTCCTCTGTTAGCACGTTACCACAGGGGATTGTGTGCCGCCACAGTACTGTGAATGTCGTAGGGCATTAATCTGCAAGAGGAAGATGAAGAGTATGTAAACTTGCCTGCTAGCAGAGAGGCCCAGATTACAAATGTGTACTTTGCTAATTGAACAGATTAGCTATCATTAGCGCAAATGATGCTACTGCTCCAGGTGTTAGCGTCACAGGAGGAAAAAAGTTCTTAACAGAAACAATATTATTAACAGCAACACTATTTACCCTCTGAAAGAGTAAATACAAGCTCTGTCATCTTTTACAAACTGCCCCATACCATCCTCATGAAAAAAAAATACTCTGTACACACTAGCGATGGAACAAGTTAACTGACATGACAAGGCCTGTTTCACACATTCTGTTGTGCATATTCCTTTCGGACCCCATAATAAGAGGCTACAGCCAGTTTAAATTAATATTATTAAATTAAAACTTTTATTGTTAAATTAATGTTTTATTAAGCAGCAAATCAGTATATTGGAATGATTTCTAAAGGATCATGTGACACTGATGACACTATTTTTGTTCATACAATGAATGTCAACAGGGTCCAAACAACACCTCACTGACTTTCAAAAACATTTTTCAATATATATTTCTACATGTCGTGCAGGTCTGAAATTACATGTAGGTGAGTAAATGATGACAGAATTTCCATTTTAGGTTGAATTAGCACTTTAAAAAAAAATTATAAAATTGCATAAAGATCCGATTAGCATTGTATAATGTAAAATGTTAATGTGGTTGATGCATAAGGTTCAATTTGTACGATTAGATAATTCATTAGGTGCATGAACTAACAATGAGCAGCATTTTAATTTCATTCACTGTCTTTATTAATCTAGGAGTTAATGTTAATTCACAGATATACTATTGTGCATGCACTGTTTATTAATGCAGTTTGCCACGTGAAAGCACAATGTTCTACTGCTCCTCAGACATATGCTGTGTGAAACAGGTCTAAGGAAGGCATTTGGAAGAGTGTGGCCGTTCAACCTCATGCCGTTTAGGCAGGGATTAGTGATTTTGTAACCGTGGGAGACGTGCATTAACACACTCAAGTTAGTCTTCATTTCCACGATAACAGCAGGCACGGCTACGAATTAAAAGCAATATGCACCCTTTTTGCGGGAGGTGGCGAGGGCCAATCCTCCGACTGGCCTCCGACAGGCTGGATTTTGAATTTAAGGATTGATTAATCTCCTCCAGTGGCTGCGAGAGGAGCAA